TGTGTAGGGCTGGGCTCTAACGTATTTCGGTCATAATGGATCACAGTCGGTCACAACCAATTACAACATTCGATCCATACGATTTTTGTCAATTTAATCCCTCTACAATGTCACACATCTCTCATAAGCTTATTGTATATTATTTCGAACATTAAAATATAGGTTTGCAATTTTTGTATTTGAAAATTATTTTTCCAAATGTGTTCCTATATGTTTCATAATGTTTTATGAGTTATTTAGATAAATTTGGTATATTTCTTCTACAAACCTCTTAAAATATTTAAAAATTTTCTCACACACACTATATATTTGATATATAGACTCTGATAAACCACCCCAAAGTTTAAAAATTAAATTTTGGTCTATATTTATCAACACATTTCGGTCACGGGTCACAGTCGGTCACAATGGTCACATCGTGCAAAATTGTATTCTGATCACATGGTCACATGTCGGTCACAATGGATTACAACGTTGGTCCTATGAGTCAACTTATTTAGTGTGTAATAAGAGTCAAATATATGCGAAAGTAAATAGAAATTATTGGATAACTAAATTTACTCGGAATTATTTAAACACATTATTATACAAAAGTTTTAACACATTATTGTACAAACACAATACAACATTATTATACAAATATTTTTGGACATTATTATACAAAGGTTTTTTACACATTATTATACAAAATACAGTACACCATTATTATATAAATTCTGTCTCTTTCTTCATTCCAAATTAGACGTTATCTCCGACATTGTCGATGTTGATGTTCCTTTTACATAATAGTATACTGTATTTGTATAATAATATATTCATAAGTAAATTCAGATACAAATTAGGCATTCTCTCCAACAAGTTCATAAGTAACTTCAGATACAAAATAATCAAAAACAAAAAATAAAAGTTCATAATTTAGGGTTTTACCAAACAAATAAAAGGAGATCATAGTTAGGGTCAAAAACAAAAAAAAAAGGCACTTGGTAAAGTAAAAGTTCACGCTTTCTTCGTCTGATCCTTGACATGAACAAATATTGCGGCAGCCAAATGCTCACGGATCAGGGAGACATTGTCACGCATATCAAGGGACACAACGTCTGTTGTTTACCAAGGAAAATTGCGTCAACATACTTTAATGTAAAAACATCGCATTCACAACCGTTATCATTTTGTGGTTTCTCTCTCCTCTCGTTGTAGATGTTCTCCTACCATTCATATAACAATTTGTCAACATGTAGTGTTAGGGTTTAAGGACCATGTGACTATATGACTGTGTGACCATGCGAGTGTGTGACCATGTGACCATGGGACCGTGTGACCACGTGACCGTGTGAGCTTGTCATCCTTATGACCTATGTCAACCGTTATCCTGATCCATATGACTATGTGACCGTATAACCATGTAGTAAGGGTGGCCATTTCGGGTTTCGGTTCGGTTATGTCGGGTTCGGTTATTTCGGTTATAAAAAAATCATACCCAAACGGTTATATAGATTTATTCGGTTCGGTTCGGTTCGGTTCGGTTTTTGCATAATAAAATTATAACCAAATGGTTAAATTTTTCGGTTTATTCGGTTCGGTTTTAGATCGGTTCGGTTCGATTATGATATATTTTAAAAAAAAGAATATTAATCCTATGCAAACTTCAAAATATCTATCCAAATAAATCCATAAAATAATTAATCCTCCAAAAAAGTTACAAAAAAATATACAAAAACTTCAATAATTAGATTAAAAGTTAAAAAATATTAAATTATATGGTTTATTAAGTGAAACACATAAGGTACAAATGAACTACAAAAAAATAACACTAATAATAATAAGGGTAAAAATTAAAATATTATAAAAACCCTAATAACCGTTCGGTTAACCACGGTTATTCGGTTATTTACCTAACCAAACCAAACCCGAACGGTTATTCAACTTCCTCAACCGTTCGGTTATTCGGTTAATAACCGAAATGACCACCCCTACCATGTAGCCCTTATGACCTATCTATTGTGACCCGTATTATTGTTGTAATCCATGACCGAGATGCACATTGTTACCTTTGTGCTCTATATGTCCATTCTGACTATTGTTATAAATAATCTGTGCGACTCATGACTCAATTATACTCTAAAAATATTTAAATACAGATTTGACATAGATCTATGACTATGTGACCATGTGGTCGTTTGACCATGTGACTGTGTGACCTATGTGACCTTGTGACTTTTATGACCCATGTAAACCATTATTTTAATGACTATTAACCCATGTCTATTGTGACACGTATGATTGTTATAACTCGTGAACGGTGTGCTTATTGTGACCTTTGCGATACATATACCCATTCTAACCATTGTAACAAGTGATCTATGTGACCCTCAACTCAATGATACTCTAAAAATACCTAAATTATGACTATACATACTACAAACGACAGAACTTAGCAAACAACAAAAAAAAATATAGAAAAAAAATAAGAACTATCAATGTTCATAAAAAATATTAGGTTTTTAATCTTATTTTATGTATTTTCAAGTTTCAGATTTTGTTTTAATTTTATCGGATTTTGAAGAAAAAAATCCAATTTGAGAAGAGAGAGAAACTAAGGAGGGGGGATAAAGCTTAGAGAGAGAAATAGGAGAGAGAAATCGATGAAGAAAAACCTATATTTGAGGAGGAGAGAGAATTCTGATTTTAATTAAAAATAAATAAATACAAAATAATATTATAAGGGTATTTTTGGTAAATACATGTGATAGGGTATTTTAGAAGTATAAATTTTTTTTTTAAAAAAAAAAGAAAGGGTAGGTGTGAAAATCCTTTTACCACATCGAATGTAAAAGAGATAATGCCCCGAGCAAAAAGGAGTGGACCGACGCCAATACAATGACATTTTTGTCACAAGACATGTATGTATCACAACTTCACCTGCACAAAATATAGTACACATAAAACAGATATCATGCATTCATATACATAAATGTGTGTATGTGTATAACATTATAATAAAACTCGGTTCGATTTCGTCAAGTTTTTCCAGATACAGAATATGCAGATGCAGAGACCCCGCCGATAGAGATCCCATTGCAAAGAGAGTATTCGGATGTGTTCTTTTTCCATCTCATACAGACTTCTTTTTTTGTCTGGTCGTGTTTTTTTTTTTTTCAGAATCAGAATCGTAAGTTGTCGATGTCCAATTCAAGACTGACTGTTATCTTTCTGAATGGAGATTGCATCATCATCATCATCATCATGTCTCTGCATTAGAACCCGAACATCAGTCAGAAACAAGCCCATGGACCATGACAAGCCAACATCCAGCACCCCTGAGCGTTGAACCCCAGTAAATTAAGAGAACGGGACTACCTTTGCCAACAAGATGCTAGCACCGATGCAAGTTCTGTAGTGCTGTTCCACTTGAACCAGAGCCAGAGGCAATTGCGCCCTCAACATCTCTTTCATTCAAAGAATGATCACCAGCACCTTCTGTTCTATGTTCATTGTTTGATTCGGAAGGCGTACTACTTTCCGATGCATTTGAAACGGAGGCAGTGCCAGATCTATTGTTCTCTCCCGTTTCTAGATGTTCCATCATGCGTGATACCGTGGCAATTCCAGCATTGACCTCTCTCCTAACCTCGGAACCAAGATCTGTCATGGACGAGTTGCGGGAGAAAAATTTCTCCTTCCAGCTCCTTGTGCTCCTTGAAATGGATTCTTTGTATCTGAATCGTAATGGGAAAACAGCTTAGATACTATAAAATCCTATGCAAGCCAAAAACAGCCAGACAATTAAGGGACACCTTGTTGAGACAGCATTTAGTCGGGATTTGAATGATTCTGAAAATGCTTGGAAATCTGATGGACCGGATCTATCTTGACCACCTTGGGAAGAGTGATTAAGAGACCTGCATAGAACAAGACAAAGTAAGGTTGAGATTAGACACAAGCAACGGCCAACTAACAAGAGAGAACATCAGATAAGATGCACACCTGCTGTTCGAGTTGAGCCCACGTTGATTTCTAGAAAGGACATTTGGTTCAGATAGCAAAGGAGATCGAGGGTAGGAAGATGCTGACTGTAGAGAACCCTCCCCAAAAGCATTCGGAGGGGGCGGAGGAAGGTTGGCCACAATACCAGGAGCTGGCTCACCTTCTCCTCTCCAAGATGGAGAGGAAGGCATGTGAACCGTAGGTAGGGAAGATGCATTAGGATTCCTGGAGAGCACCAGGAACTGTGGATGGCCTTGAGTTGACGACCTCCTCCAGTGCCCTTCCCTTCTTGCCGCATGCCGGGCTTGCCCCATTGCAGCCGCAGCAGCCAGGTGCTGAATAATTCGTTCCTCAATCTCCGCATTGTCCACCCCAACAGGGAGCTGCATTGAAGGACATCATTACAGAAACATCAGGCTACTATTTACTATAATCACAAGCAAAGAAATGTTGCAACGGATGCCCATGATACTGGGAGAGTCACCAACATGCTGCAATTCAAAATCTCCAAGAGCTGGATGATGAAATATGGTGGCATTTCTTGATGGATTGGAGCGGAAACTCCTCTCCCGTTCAACAGCCTCAAGCAATTCCTGACTGAATCATAAACAGCACATAACTGATATCTCCGCTTGAGGCATGCACAGTGAATCAGAAATGCAAAGGAAGAAAAAAGACTAAAAAGGATGAAACAAAGACAAAATTAACCTAGTTGGGTCTTTCAGGCTGATGGGCTGCCAACACATAGGGCACTGTGAACTCCTCTGACACCTGCCAAGTTTAGGTAAAAGCATAGCCAGTGGGGCAAGTCAGTTGGAAATCCCTGAGGCTTGTTTGATAACTTTCCTCAATGAAAACGTTTTCCAACTGGCATTAGCACTAGATTCATCTGTTCATTCTAGCATTTCAAATCAGACACAGGGTTTGTTAATAAAACCATTGCTCTCAGCTAGAAGAGAGAAATGACAAGGACTAGATTTTTGTCGAAATTGTCTCAACCATGATTCATATAGGTTGTTAAACATAAAGTTTTAACAAGGAAGAACACTGCACACGATGGTTTTACATAATGACATAGGTTCTTAAATGAGCTCACCATTCAAGAACGCACTGAAGATGGTACTCATGCTTGCATGTAGTCACCTGCAAGATAAGAGAAGAGAGAAACAGATAAACAATGCTCAATGTGATGACTGACCAAAGACTCCAGTATAAGTACCGTTGAAGGATTGCTGTCGCAAAAGACTTCGAGACAGATGCTGCAGGCATCATCACAGGCATCTTGGATGCCCCCATCCACAAAAGCTGCGGCCGATGTCAGGTGAGCTTCGGCCTTTGTAGTCTCTTCCATTCCCTGTATAATCACCGGAATCAAAAAAACCTTCATTCAAATCACTTAGAAAATCTAAATACAGATGAAGATCGAGAGTCATGGTGACAATTCAATATGGGTCACCATAGATTCAAAGCCCTCAAAGAAACTCAATTTCTTCGACTCCGGGAAAAACGGGGCAAAAGGGCAAATATAAAAAAAAAATCGCGCGAAAGACATTATCCAAAAACCCTTACGAGATCACGCATAATTGGTTCCTAAAATTGATTGATGACCGCATTCGTGAATCACACATATCAACAGAGTACATAAAATAAAACCAAAATGGGAAGAACATCCACAATCGGCATCCTTGGTAAGAAAATGATGGGATTCTCTGCCGAGCCGAGAGAAAGATTCAAAGGGAGAACAAAGACGAAAGAAAACCCTAACCTCCATGGAAGTCGCGATGAATCAGGAGCTACGAGATCAAAGAACAGATTGAGAAAGCCGATCGAGGAACCTAGGGTTAAGAAATAGCAATAAACCCTAGATTCCCCAGAGAAAAGATTAAGCAGAGATGAAAAGGAGAGGAGATGAGGAAGATGAAGGAGAAGAGGAGGACGACGACCCTTTCATTTTGTGTGCTCGTTTTTACCTTTCTCCGCCACAACGTGAGTTTTTTTTTTTCAAATTTATTTTTCCTATTTTTAATTAATTAATAATTTTGCAGTGGGTCCCATGGTTACGTAGTTCGGACACGTGTACTTCTTCTGTTGCTTTTGTATTATCCCTCATTGTCTCACCCAAAACAAACACCGTAACGTGGATGTCCCAGTTTTTTAAAATAACCACTTTCGGTTTTGCATGTTTAGGAGTGCCCGATAATAAACATCGATATCCATAAACTATTATTGAAATCGAAAAATAAAGAAAGATAACAATTTACAGTTTTTATTAAAAAATCCTAAATATGTTTGCCGAAAAAATTGTTTCTAACCCTCTATTCAAATTATCTGCGGAATGATAAATAAACCTTATTCCTAAAAATCAGATTTTTGTCTCCGACAATGAACCGGATCGGATGGATATTCCAAATTTCGGATATAATGTTACAAAATTCAATATCATGTTTTTTATGTAACAATTTCATTTTCTACAAAGACGCATATTTTACCTCTTTTAACCAACAAGAGAGGAACTGTACGTGAACAAAACATGGTCAATATATCGAGAGGTTGGGGTTTCGACTCCTTATCCGCTCACCTATCGTCTGTCAGTTACGGCTGATTTACCTCCTACACGTGTGTTGCAGGCTCATACGTATATACTTAGATTTACTCGGTCAGCGCATCCGAAAGGTAGCAGTCGGGGTTCCAATGTATAAAAAAAACAAAGCAAAGTAAAAAAGAAAGAAAGAAACCTCTTTTTCAGGCCGAAGCTCCTTTTGGATTTCCCTCATGTGCCAAAGCATTTGGTTGTCCAAAATCGACATTCTAGATCAATCCTTTCCTCCATTCCGATTCCAAATAAATTTGGTATTAGGTCAATGTTAATATTGATATTGATTCGATCGATATTTACCTCATGATACAAACTAAATCCTATGAATCTCATAACAATTTAACATCAGTCAAATATTTTATTTTTTTACTTGAATTTTTTGGCTGTATTTGTCTTATATCATGTTTGATATTCTAAAACATTATCCATAATGTTTTATTATATTTATATTGGATTTAATTTGAAATTTTAGATAGTTATATCAGTATTTAAACTATATTATAAATTTAAATCTTGAACAATCATAGTTATAAAATATTTTTGGGTATCTATGATGTATAACTAAACTGTAAAAAACCGAAAATTTGACGTACCACTCATATATATGTTACAGCTTTCACAGACCATGCAAAGACAGTTTTCAAACTTTCTTATAATTTCACACAAAGAGCCTTACCCCTCATTCCTTGAAACCACGGTTGCTAGCTTTCTTTCTCTTGTATTCGTTCATTTTAATATATATATATATATAACCATCTTCCAAATCAAAATTTAAATAAAAATATGATAGACCTAACTATTAACTAATTTCTTTTGTCCAATGCCCAATTATATAGCTTTTGCATATGCATACAAATAAGTTGTCATATTTTTTATTCATTGTATTATATATATATATGGGGTTAATTTAGACCTTTTTTTTGGTCGTGGGAACTTGGCTACAGTCTTTCGGACGCAGTGATAAACACTGGATTTCATATGTAAAACAAATAAATTACATAATAGATTTAGAGAAGAGTGAAATCGAATCCATGGTATTTTGGAAAATCATAGGCTTTTTTATTACTATATCACACTCCGAAAAGTGTGTTAATCTAGAGTTACTAATGTGAATATATATATATATATATATAAATGGAAGAAACAGTCTGATGGGTCAAACGGAAACGATATCGGAAGAAGCAGCCGGATGGACCAGACGGAAACGATATCGGTGACCGTAAAATCCTCGTCGACGAACACAAGTTTGCGGCACATACGTGAGAAATAAATCAGCCTTTAAGTGACGACAGGTAAGTGAGAAGTTTTTTCTTGATTGTTGACGTGGTATCCGTGGCATATAAGGGGGTCGGGAGATCGAATTTATATCCGTATATGAACGTACTGACGGTCAACTATTTTTATATAAGTTATAATTATATATTTGGTTAAATAAATAAATTTGTAGTTGAGAAGTGGAAATCCATAACCGCTGGATTAAATACAACGATAACCGATTTAGATTTTTTTTCATCGGAAATAGAAAACATTAATTTGGTTTTATCGAAACGCACATACATAAAATTAATATGATTTTCATTTTAATTTTTTATAAATTAATTTTAAAAAAACGAGGCTAATTTTTAGTACACCTATAATTTTAGAACTCACTGTGATCAAAACATATAATTATTAATCTATTTCCAAATCACTTGAGGACCATCTACGTCCGTACATTCGATTAAGTATACAACAATATGAACCACGATATATACACACGCTCTAAAACAATAAATAAAAATAAGAATCCACCAAAATAAAATTAATTAAAACTAATTTATTAATAGATTGACTCCAACCCATCCACTGCTAATTATAGAGAAAAACCACGTAATCGAGTGATTTGACTATTAATTAAAATTAATTAAAAACCATATACATCTACTAAAGATGCCTTGATCTCTTTCTGTAATCTGGAGAACCAAAATAAAAAGATACAAAATAATTAAGAAATAAAACTGAAAAAAACAATAACCTAAAATCCCACAAACTTTCATCTTCATTCAATACTTTAAAGTTTGAACACCATCTTCAACGTAAAGATCATTTTGCATATACACAAGTTAATATATATATATATATGTATATATATGCATATATATATAGAGAGAGAGAAAGAGATAGACTAGCGCTTATCCTTTGAATAGTTCTAATTTCTGAATCAAGAACAAAGAAAAACTAAAGAACAAAAAAACAATGAATTGGTCGTACCCAAGCATGGCGAATTTCATCGAGGCCTTGCACCGCCGGAAATTCTCCTCGGCCGGTCTCACCCTCCAAACCCTAAACATAGACTCCGACACATCCGTCGAGTTCTGGGGCCCACCTCCTCAGCCGCCGCATAACTCAACGGAAAATCAAGAAAAGCCGGTCCTCCTCCTCCTCCACGGCTTCGGCCCCACAGCCACGTGGCAATGGCACAACCAGGCGAAAACCCTCTCTCCCTTCTTCCGCCTCTACGTCCCAAACCTCCTCTTCTTCGGCGGCTCCTCCTCCTCCTCCGCCGCCGCCGAAGTAAAAAAGAAAGAAAGAAACCTCTTTTTCAGGCCGAAGCTCCTTTTGGATTTCCCTCATGTGCCAAAGCATTTGGTTGTCCAAAATCGACATTCTAGATCAATCCTTTCCTCCATTCCGATTCCAAATAAATTTGGTATTAGGTCAATGTTAATATTGATATTGATTCGATCGATATTTACCTCATGATACAAACTAAATCCTATGAATCTCATAACAATTTAACATCAGTCGAGGATGTGGCCTGAGAAGGTGGAGAAGGTGGTCCTCGCGAGCTCCGCCGTGAATATGCGGCGGAGGGACAACGAGGCATTCTTGGAGAGGGCCGGATCCGGCGGCAGCATGGTGTTACTCAAAAATGCAGAATTCTATACTCTGTTTCTAAGAATGAAAGAATCAAACAGAGGAGTTTTCGCAAAAGCTCAAACTTTATTTTTACCCAGAACCATAGTTTAAATAGAAAGAGCAAAAACAACAGAAAATAAAGAGAACGTGTTCAAAACAAACTGCAGAATAAAACCCCACTAAATCTGGAAGTTGTTGCCACTTCCTCTGACTTATTCCAAACTGAAAAACATCTGTCACTCCAAGCTTTGACCACGTCTTTGGGATAAGATTACCCTAACATTCTCCTCCTTAATCTTGTTCCTTTGTCTTGATGTTCTTGATTCCAATCGCATGTCTCAAATCCTCCAATCGATCTCGAGCTAGTGGTTTGGTTAGTATGTCGGCTACTTGATCAGTTGTCTTCACGTAGTCCAAGTCGATGTCTCCCTTCTGTAAGCAATCTCTAATGAAGTGATATTTCACTTCAATATGTTTACTCCGGCTGTGGTATACGGGATTCTTTGCCAGTGCGATTGCCGACTTGTTGTCCACCTTCAGTGTGACTTTCCTACCTCGATGTCCTCTTATTTCTTCCAGCAGTCTTCCCAGCCACATACCTTGGCAAGCTCCAGCCGTTGTTGCCACATACTCTGCTTCGCAAGATGAAAGAGCCACAACCTTCTGCTTCTGCGACATCCATGATATGGGGTTCTTACCGAGAAAGTAGATCATGCCGGTGGTACTCTTCC